ATTTACCATCAGAATTGCGTAAAGTATCTGGAGCATTCGCATTCCATCCGCCGTGCCCACGAAGTCGAAGGCGCGAAACAGAATATAGAGTTTCAGGGACACCCCGCTGGGGTACCAGCGTGCTACGCTCGCGCAAGTAGTGCAGTGCGACAAGGCCGCGGTCAAGGTTGGAAACCTCTGCCGCCAACGTCCGGCGACAAGCAGATGCCACTGGGTGAAGCTCTGTTGAATCTTCGCATGGATCCGCGCATTTCGCTCCATCTTGCACCTTTGTCAGTGCAACTGACAATCCAAGGCGACCATCGCCTTACACTAAAGGCCAAGCAAAAGACAGAGGAAAGAACAAGGGCATGAACAAAGGAAAGAGCTCAATTCCGGCAATGCCAGCAGAATTGCACGGCAAATGGCTCAAGACCGCACAAGGAGAGCCTTTATGCTTCGGATGAAGTAGTTCTTCAGGTTGCCCCCGCAAGTCGATTAAAGACGGCGAGAGGTGTGTGAAGGGCTGGTGCTTGTGTTGTGAGCCGAAGTGCCAACGTTCACACCCATTGAACAAGCATCGCTGAGAAGCAGAGTCGGTTTCACCAATCTCACCTTGGAATGTTTTGCGCGCGTCACAGCTTATCGTGATCGTTTTTTGGCAGGCTATGCAGTTCTTTGCGCCGCAGCAAAACAGCTCGGTCTTGAGAGTAGCCTAGCCATCAAAAACTTCGTAAGACAGGTGCTTTCGCTAGAAAAGTCCAAATGGATCTTTTTGAAGGACGAAAGGACGCTCTCGCCGCTTTTGTGTTGGATCCATGTTGCTCCTGTCTGCGGCGCAGCCAGCCGGGCCAGAAATATACAAGGGCGTCCCAGTGATCCTAAGGTCAGATGACTTTCTGCATGGGCTTCCCGACCTATCGAAGAAGGACCTCTTTCCTCTTTACATAAACATGTGAGCGGGATCTTGTGCACTCTTGAAAACCCATCCCGTTCGTTTTTATGGTTGACAGGCTGGTTCGTGCATTTGGAGAAGAAGCTAACAGTTAACGCTTCATGTTGTAGATTGTTTCCCCGGTTCCAGGTACAGCCTGTAAGCGTTAAAATAAAAAAAGTATACCAAAAATACAAAAATACGAATGGAGAATACACATTCACCCGTTGTATTCAAAAAACACTTTTGATTTTTGTATTTTTCAAAAATACAATCTAAAAAAAGCAAAGCTGCAAGCGGTGTGGGTGGGGTGGGAAGCTGGCCCCCTTGTCTTTTGGAGCAGCCTCTCGTGGTTGTCGGGTAGCTTTACTACGTTTAGCTGGTTGTCAACAAATTTTCCGGTGGGCTTTGTCGGTTCGCAGATCGAGGCCAACAATTTGTCTTTTAATAGTTACGAAAATAATACGACCATTTTTTCGTCTTTTTCCAAGAATAAAAAAATACAAAAATATGGAAAATACAGCCGCCAAAAAAGGACAATATACAAAAATACGACCCGCGAAAAAAAATAACAACACACACACACACACACCAAAAACAACATACACACACAAAATAAAAAAATACGAACAAAATACAAAAAATACGACCTGCGAAAAACTAGACAACAAATTACGAAAACATACGGCCCGCGAAAAAAATACAAATGCGACCCACGAAAAAAAAGCAAACGGATACACAATTTGCCGATTTTTTTTTGCGAAACCAAATTTTGCAATTTTTTCGTTTTGCTGACGCGTCCACGAGGGTGCTTGCTGATTTTGCAGCCCGACTGCCTTTGCTTTTATTTTGCCACAATGCAAAAAGACAGCAAATTCGTGAAAATGCTTCTTGAAAACGCATAAGAATCATAAGAAGGACAACGTGACTCAAAATTCAAGGGGCTTGGTGGGTGCTATTTGCATTGTGGCCCTCACTTGAGTATGTTGTTTGGGAACCAGGGCCAGTTAGGACGTAGAACCATGTACAAGCCTGTATGTTTGGAGAAATTCGTCCAACATGGACTCACCTTGTTGCCCAAATTAGTGCCTTAGCAGTTGCGTGTGATGGAAGTCACGAACATGAGTCTTGGCGTTCAACAGCGAGGGAGATCGCTTCCCTTGAGTTCAAATACCCCAAACGCCTGTGCATCGCTCTTGTTCTTTCTTAGAAAACCTCAAAGAGTGTGAAAGAGTGTGGAGTCCAACTGCCACCGCAATCAACATCCTCTCCAACACCAACTAGCCAGCGTGCATGCTGGCTCGCAGTCCAGAAATAGAAGACTTCCGCCTGTTGTCCTTGATTTTGCCACCACTGCCGTGTTCAAAGTCTCCAATTTAACCTAAATCCCATGTCAGCGCGCTCTTGTCTGAACTGAAAGAACCCCTGCAGGTTCTTACGTTGGAAGACCAACCGGCCACCTTGCCAGCCTATTCACGTTTTATTCGGTCCTACCCTCTCGATGCCTCCTTTCATGGGGGAGGCGCCGAGGCATGCGAAGCGAACGAGGCGTCAGAAAATCCAGTTTTGCGTAGCAAAAGATGCAGAGAAGACCCCAGTGAACACGTTTTTGGGCTGCCTTGGGAAACCGAACGGTTCATCGGACGGCGTGTGAGGTCGGGCGCCCGTCCATGTATGATCTTGCGCAGTCCAATGAGCTCTTGATTGCAGTTGAGAAACACTTGGAACTTAGTCCCGAACAGATTGCTTGGTGTAGGAAATGGCTAACTGGAGCGTCTGAACGGTCCGCCGCTGAGCTTGAGGATGCTGCGAGGCGTGGCCCACATGAGCATGTCAACGCAAACGGTAAGAGATTGCTTTTGACGGAAGAGATTCAGGAGGAAGTTGGACACCCTGATAGTGAACTGGTTGACATCGACCTTAGTACGGCAACCATTGGAAGGTGTCAAGACCTCCTGGGATTGTAACCTCATAATCAATGCGTCTTCGCTTGATCCGAACTTCAGCTGGGACGCTCTAGAGACGAGCTCCTCAAACACTTTCAAACAGAGAACTTGCCTCAGCGGTTGGATCACATTGCCGTGCTCTCTCTTCTGATTCAAACCCTTCGACGTAGCCAACATAGAGGACATTATATATGAAGCCCCGGCCACATTGCAGGAAGAAGAGGAAGGTACGGTCGAGGGCGATCTGATTGATCAAGTTCTCCTGTTTCTAAGTCAACTTGGCCACATTTTTCAAGTTGTTGCTGACACATGTATATGATTTGTATCATATTTGATTTTAGATACTATTTATTGCAAAAATACGTTTTGTAAATTGTGTTGTATTTAATTTGATACAATACGTAATATATATTAATGTGAGATGATATTTTATGATATTTTTTAACATGCAAATAATTCAACATAACAATATAATTTCATGTAATATATATATATATATCGCATCGTTAACAGACAGCATATATGCATTGTATAATACGTGTATATATATATATATAATATATACATATTTATTCACACCGCTTCATGGTCGAAGCCGCCCGCGCAGATCAAAGGGAAAATGTGTGGGGTAAGACAGACCATGCAGACAGACATTCCAGACATACGTTGGAAAAGTGTGTCATTAGCGACTTGTGCTCTCGGAGCCAGGAAGAAACGTCTACGTTCGAATGTATCAAACTTTCGCGCGTAATGTACAATATCGACGATGACCGGAAGAAGCGAGCTTCTGGGAACTCGTGGGAGTCTTGGAAGGGTCTTTCTGTATAAAGGAGTGGCCAAACAACCAGATAACGCGGCCAGCGTGGCTCAGCTTGGTGATAGCATGCCCCGTGCATTCTTCTGGGTGAACGCCAGTGTAACCTTACCAAGGCGACTGCAGGTGGTCGCACCACCACCTCATCTGCATGTGGCCGCCGCCAATCGTACACCACGGTGGTGAACGTCGTGTGCAGCTTGTTAATCAGAGACTTCTGTCAAGGGTCGAGCTTCTGATACTCCAGAACCAACGTCGGCGTTCCCAATAGGATGCGATCGCTATAAGACGTGCGCGCGCCGAGGCACGATGTCAATAATGTAGTCTTCCGCTCAGTGCAATGAATCATGCAGGGGTGAGCTTCTGAGGCCTTAGAACCAAAGTCGTCGTTCCCAAACTTGCTTTTCGGTCCGTTCGGCCACAGGAGAGAAATATACGCGCATGTATAAAGAGACAGACAGACACAGATCAAAGGAAAATTGTGTGAGATGGGTCCACAGCAACCCGTGTTTGCGGAGCCGGGAAGGAGGGAAGGAGCGACCTGTACTCTCGGAGCCGGGAGGAACTTTTGACCGGGCTCGAGCGTGAAGAAGCAGTCAGAAGGCATAGTCAGGGTGTATCATTCAGGCCGTAAAGATAAAATTCAGGAGTGGCAAAAGCGACTCCACCGACTCCTTCTTTCCCCTCACAAGCTCTCGCCACCAACGCCACACACTCAATATCAATCACCTCATCCGCTCAAATAGAACACTCCGAACGCGTCCACGATGTCAATAATTAATGCAGTGTCCACCGGGTGACACGGCACATGCGTCTGCGATGTCGATAGTGCGATCTCCTTGGCCGGCATATCCGGCATCGCCAACGTTTAGTCCAATTTTTTTCATTGAACACAAGCACAGTAGAAAAAAATAAGATCCCCCCAAAACGAAAGCTTAAGGTTTAATCAAGCAGATTTCTTCCGGTTGCTGTTGATGCGAGACTCCACAACGCCTCGGCGCCATTGGTGCGGGCGGAAATTTTTTAAAGACTCGACTCGCCAGCTTGCTATGTGCCAGATCTTGCGTGGCAGGATCCAAAGATTCGTGTTTTGGAAGAGGCCTGTGAGAAGTCGAAAGAGTGTTGACAATGCAGGTTCTTGTCAGCATAGTTTCATCATGTTCATTGTGGCTTTGCAGGGTGTTCCACTTCCGCCACCCGATTGGGATGCAGATCTCAAGGCCTCTTGGAGAATGAACCTTTTGATTCAGAATTTGTTTCAGTGGTTCTATGTCAGGACGGAGGAAAGAAGTGGGAGAAGGAGGTTCTTGGTGGAGCCAACTTGTTCATGCGACTTGTGGAGGCACTTTTCTTGATTTGTTCACTTTTCTTGATAGAATGCACTCGAGCAAGCACGACAAGACTTGCATTCATTCTGCATCGCAAAGGCACTAGATGAAGCGCCTTTGGGCAGCTGGATGGATGCTGAAGCAGTTTTAGAGCTGGAATCCATGAAAGAGGAGTTCCGAAAATATTGAAAAATTTCAGCTTGACTGCACGCTGCCTTCTTTCCTTAGAGTCTTTCGTGCCCCAACATTTGGTCTCGAACAATAGCACATATAGGTGCTGCCTGAGTAATTGTAGAAGGGCGACGTGGAAAGACAGATGTATCTGATATATCTGTTTTTTTCACGAATAAATGCTGACGATGCACCGAGCAGCGGTGTGCATGATTGACATCTATAGGGGTTGTATGCGAACATGTGTCAGCGACCGAAGACTCCGTCGCAACGCTTGTGCATGCTCCCTGTCGCTCGAACATGGAACGGGGACTACCATGAGTGAAGCAAACAGCCCGTTCAAGCATCTTACTAGGTTCTGTCATTCATGTGTGAAGTAAGTATCATCTTTTGATCTGCATGGATAGCGGATAGTGCATTCTGATCTGTGCTCGTGGGTTGTGGGGTGGGTACATGCCTGTACAAGCTTCTTAAGGATACAATGAAATTAGCATCGTTTCACGACTCAGAGGGAATGCAACTACTCTCGATTCTAACGAATTGGCTTTCTTCAGCACCAACAGCAGCCAACAACCCCAAACAGCAACAGCAGCAAAACGGAGCAGACAACAAGCAGCAGGCAGCCATGGGAGAAGGGTGGAGTTGAACCCGCGAGGGGGGGGGGGTCTAGTCCTGATATATCAGGTAATAGCACTCAGGTCCTGAGCTCCCACCCTCCTTGCCAAAGCAAGACAGACTCCAGCTAGCTACAGCTAGCTTTCGTGATTTGATTTTCTACAACTTGGTAAAGTTCATTGGGTAACGTAATATACGCATACTTGCTCACTCTCCAGCCTCCAATCTTATTTTTTAGAATCAAATATTTGCCTTGCCTTTTGTTCTTCAGCCTTGATGGTGAAGGTATCAGTCTTAACACTATATACTGTATTACTTGCATCCTTCAGTTTAGAATAGGTTTTATATATTGAAAAACTTGGTGTTGTAAAAGAAGCTCTTTTAGATACATGCATCATTTTTTGTGTTTTATCCTTCAAACTTCAAATGTAATATGCTTCCGTTTAGTTTCAAACGGTGAATGCCAACCATGGTTTCCCTGCAGTCACCACACTTGCATATACAGTATATATATGTAATACAACATATATTAATATATTATATAGTTCTATTTTAATATATACTTATATGGGACGGCGCTGACATAAGCACTGTGCCTCCATCCTACTGTCCCTCCTTCCACCCTTCCTAAAAAGAGGAATCCTCTTTCATTCTCCATTGATCTAAGAGCCGGCAAGAAAGCTTTTCTTGCAGCCCTTCTATTCGTGCGGTGAGCATGCCTGACGAGACTTTGTTTACTGGTTTTCCAGTGTACATGTCGAGATGTCGAGAATTACTTTCAGACCGGGCTGGGCGTATGTAAAGAAGAAAGGACATGTGGCGGAAGAAAGTGCCAGTCAAGAGTCAAGACTGCGACATGTTGTTGGGATAGAATCGAAACTAAACGACTGTTGGCCCGAAGCAGAAGCGCGACCAGGGTCATGAACATCTTATTATAGTGGATAAAATAGTATATAATAGTATATATAACCAATATATATATATATATATTAAAAATGGTTTCAACCTACCTACCACTTCACCAATGGTAAAACGGCGCGCCGCGCCGCGTGTGCTGCTCTGTATCGTTCCAGCAATTGCGATCATCCGGCGTTTCTATGACCTGCCAACGATCAATCAATAACTGCGATTCACCAGCAGTCAGCAGAATCGAAACATACCCCGCAGCCTACTGCGCTTCATCGGCAGTGAGATGGCGCAAGTGAACTACCTCATCAAGCAGAGACAACACATCACTTTCCACTTCACCAGCAACAAGAACAGTTCGCCGGCAGTGACAACCTATCCGTCTGCCAAACTTACTTGGATTGCCAAGCCTCCACGACAACTGAGACGCCATGTCACCTAAACTGTTCTACTCATTTTAGAACCCTTGCCCCAAGTCTTCAAAATAAAGCCCATGTGCAAGGCTTCGTTCAACTGGCAGTCCCAATCTACGAACAACCCATTTCCACTGGCTCCCACGATCCCCGCAGTGCAGGGCTTGGTAGAATTTGTGTCGCGCCGGTCACGCTCCTCCAAGTGCTGTATATTTGTCATACGTGATCCAAACGACAGTTGCGTGTTCCAAAGACGGTTTGAGTAATAGGCGGTCACCCCATAGAGACTGAACCTTCGGTAGAGACTGAACCTTCGGAAGAACAAAAGCTCCATGCCAGCTGCTAGTGACTGCTAGTGCAAGAGTTTGATTGCAATTGCTAGAACTCAAACCCAAGTGCAATAAATAGTGCAAGTGTGAGCCAAAGATAACATGGGCAAGAGTGCAAAAGCCAGTGCACAAGCCCAGGTACAAGGGTGGACATGCAAGAATGCAGATTGGGTCAGAAAAGCTTGACAAGCCTCTTCACCAAAAAGATACTCTTCACACAAGTACTGAAACAGTCGTTTCAGAATGTAAAAAGTGGAATGACATAAAAAGGAGCCACAGAGGCAAGGACGCTACTAGGGGCTCCTGGCCTTACTACTAGGAGCAAGGAAGCTACTAGGGGCTCCTGGCATCGCTACTAGTGGCATGCAACTTTGGACCCTCCTTCACATCTTCGGGGCGGGCTGAAGGCCTTAAGTGAAGGCTGTCAGAACTATTAGGGGGCCCCCCTGGGGATACCATTAACACAAAAAAACAATGATCTGGAAACTATGCTCAATCCTAAAGCCAGAAAACCAAGAAACACCAAAAAAACAACGTTTTCCAAAGTAGTCCAAACCTTTGTGGGATGAACATAGTTTCCAAATGATTGTTTGTTGTGTTATGCCTTTAGGATTGAGCATAGTTTCCAAATCATAGTTTGTTTTGTTTTTCTGCCTTTAGGATTGAGCATCGTTTCCAAATCATTTTTCTTTGGTTTGAGCCTCGCATATGTTTGGACTAGTTTGGACAACATTGTTATTTTTTGTTTTTTTGTTTGATAAGTAGTTTATAAGCACAGTTTATAAACACAATACCTGTTTAAACATTGTCTTCTGATGCAGTTGCACCAATGTTTCCGCAGCGCATCATCTCATCCTTGCACCAATGTCGTTTGCTTTCGAAGCCCTGTGTAAACAAACTGGGTCCATGCAGTTGACAAAGCTGGACCAAATCTGTGCACAGAATTGTTTACAACTACAACTACATCTACAACAATAAGGCACTATAGAAACTCTTTGACAAGTTGAATTATTCATAACATTTCAACCTTTCATATCAGTATGAAATCCACACCCACAATACTTACACTAACTTGAGTCTTGATATTATCCAAGAACCGCTGAACACTTACATATCCTTCTTTTGGTGCTTTTCTTTTGGCTGTTGTATCATGCATTTTGTAGTTTTTTCAATCAAAGTAGCTTATAATGCATGTTGTATTAAAAATAACAACTAGTACCTTTTTTGTACCCATAGTATCTTATCTTATACAAAGAAAGCTGTCCCAATTCCATTCAGGATAATATTTTACAAGAAAACAGCTCGACTGCTAGAATCAAATATTGCAATATGCCCACCGATGCGACTACCTTAAGCAGAGTGGCAAGTTGAACACCAAGCAAGAATGAAGTTTGCTTTTTGTTGTCAATCTCTAGTTATTGAAACAGATTTGTTTTCACATTCTTCAAGGTAGTAATGCCTTTACCAAGATGAATAATGTATGTGAAATTTACAGTGAAAACACATGTTTGTGATTTGGTGTACTCCCTGCATATCAAGAATTCACCTACTTCACATTCATGTTCCTTTCAACTTTCCAATTTCTTAATCTCACTTGATACATCTTTACAGGTCGTATTCAGTTCATCCTCTTCGGTGTTCTTTTTTCACCAATATGTTTCGCTCAAACATAATGTCAATCATTGCATCAGCATATTGTTTCATAATCTTTAGTATTTGTCAGCTCCTGAACTGGCTTTAGCTGTTTGGCATCACGTGTTGCAAAAAACTATTGCGCAACAAACTATTTGGTTTTCCATCAAATTCCCAAACCGATGAACCAGATTTGATCGAATACTATCACATCAAATTGAACAATGGCTCCATTTTAACACCATCAGCCTTGATACCAAACATCTTGTCTATTGTTATGGCATCACGTTCAAATTCGTGTAACAACCTATTAGTAGGGCATACAAATAATACTGTGTAGCCATCAACAATTTTCTGGCAATCATCTCCTGATCATTACCTGCTTCAGTTTCTCCATTTTGGCAACAAATTCATCAATATTATACTAATCGATTCTATTTTTTTGGGTAGTAACAATATAGAGGTTGGTATTTCTACAATTATATTTTCTACAACTTGGTAAAGTTCATTAGGTAATTGAATATCCGCATACGTGCTCATTCTCCAGCCTCCAATCTTATTAATACAGTCAACATTATTTCCTTGGGTTCTTATCATGTTCAGCCTTGATGGTGAAAGCAACAATTTTAACACTATGTACTGTAATACAATGCCTCAGTTTAACATAGGCTTTTTATATTGAAAACATGGTGTTGTATAAGAAACTCTTTGACATACCTGTATCCTTTTTGTAATTGTGTTATATCCTTCAAACCAATAAGGTACCGTAACATGCTTCCTGTTCAATTTCAATTGGTTCCCCTCACTTCCTTCTTTAACTTCTTCCCATGTCACTACACTTGCACATATATATATATATGTATGGGGGCGGCGAAAACATTAGCACTAGCAACTTTAAGTTCGATAGGTCTTGGAACACTCCCCCAGGGGGCCCCTAATCAGCGCCCGCTCATGTATATATATATATAATTTTATGTATGTATATATATATATATGTATATGTATATGTATATGTATGGCTCAAGCTGTTTCCTGCTCAAGCACGTCCCAGATCTTTGAAGTTCTACGGCACTGGCACCACGTCCATTCTTCGCGAGTTCGAGCC